GTCAACGACTACACCTTTGTTCGATCCCTTGCGGAGTCATGGCACTACTCCCCGAAACTGCTGGATTTTTACTGGCCGGACCTGCTGCCGCACGAGGACGACCTCGCCAACACTGCGAAAACCAAGATTGAGGGCAACATCTGGGGGTTTGCGGTGCCGAGGATTGCCGTGGACGGCTTGGTGGTCCCGGCCACGCGCTTCCTCCACCAGCGCCTGCTGCCGCTGATGCTTGGCCGCAGGCTGGGCCGCGGGAGCACGGCGGACGTCTACGAGGCGACGATCCTGGCCGGGTACGGCGAGTTCAGCGACGAGCTCCAGCGCGGCAGGCCGCGGCCGCTCGAGGTAGGTGACCCCGCCGCCGGCGGCTGGCGCGTGTAGATGCTAACGCGGGCACAGGACGGGCCGCGCCACGTGTACGCCCTGAAGATCATGCGCGTCGACGACAGCGGGGGGGACTGGGAGGATCCGCGCGGCTCCGGCACGGCGTACGACGGGAGCAGGCACCGCGAGCAGGCGGCCGTGCGGGTGGGCCCCGAGGCCGACCTGCTGAAGGAGATGGAGAATCTGCAGCAGGTGTGCAACCTCCGCCACAGAAACATCATTGAGATTTTCGCCGCGCTGCTGCGGGTCAAAACGCACGGGGAGAGTCCCGCCGGCGCCGCGAGGCCGCAGTTCAGCGCGGGCGCCGAGCGCTTCCAGGAGTACCAGCTCCTGATGCCGCGCATGGAGCACAACCTCGAGACGCTGCTCAAGGCGTTCGATGCGCCGGAGGCCGGCAAGGAGCGCAACCTGCGCGGCAGCGACGCCGTGCTCAAGGGGCAGTTCTACGGCGAGCTGGCCGGCGTCGCGGACGCACTCAACCTGATGGTCAACGGGCCCCTGCGCATGTCACGCTGCGACATCAAGCCGGAGAACATCCTCGTCTGCCGCGACGACAGCATCGGCCGCGGCGGCGTGCGCGGCATCCGCCTGAAGCTGACGGACTTTGGGCACGCGCGGCTGCTGCGGCCGGCGGGTTCGCTGACCAGAACCACGCGCGGAGTCACGTTCGCGGGCCGGTTCACGGATGCGTACGCGCCGCCCGAAGCGCACCGGGCACTGGATAAGCGCATGCCGGCGGGCTGGCCGGAGGAGACGGATCCCCTCCGCACGTACGACGTCTGGTCCCTCGGCTGCGTGCTGGCGCGGGTGCTCTCGTTCTTCGCCTGGGGGCCCGCGGGCCCGGCGCTGCTCAACCGCGCGCTAAGATACAGCATCGACCCCAGCAGCGAGGACATGCGCTTCTTCTACGACAACGGCCGGGACGAGGGGCGGCCGTTTGGCGCCGTGTGCCTCAAGCGCCCCGTCAAGTGCTTCCTGCAGGCGCTCGCGGCGGACGACCGCGCAGGGCTGGACGCCAAGCTCAGCGAGTTCGAGGCCGAGGCGATCGACGGCCGCAGCCGGAGCACGCTCGCACCGCCGCAGCCGATCGGGCCGGCCGATCTGCGGCAGTATGCGGCAGCAAAAGAGTACGCGGGCTTCATGGAGGCGAACGTAGGCTTGGTGGACCAGATGTTGCGCGGCAACCCCCTGGAGCGGCCCCAGTTTGGCCGTATACACGGCGAGATGCTCGCCCACTCGCGCACATGGGCATCGATTCTCACGGCAATGGAAGTGGAGGATGTGGCGGCATACGCTGCCGAAAACTATTTGAGGGCTTTTGGTTGCCCATGAGAGCCCACCTGGACTTTTGGAAATGTAAACTCACTTGAAGAGTTCAAGGACTCGTTAGAATATGCCCTAAGCCAAACAGAAAACAAAGAAAGAATGCGCTTTCAATGATGGGTTATCACCTGTATTCCTTCTCCGTAAAACCCTCGGCGGAGTTCGTGAACAAGCGAACCTTGAGAATGAGGCTGGGCTTTGCCGGGGTTAAATTCAAATGTGCGTATTCGTCGGGATCTAGAACAAGGATGTTTGACAGTTAGATATATTCATATGGAATTAATCTGTAGATATTGCGTTAAATTGCAAGTGTAGCACTAAGCAGTACTGGGAGGGAGAATATTACATACCTGTTTCGGACTTGTACCCCCAGGCTCCATTTTCTGCAGCAGAACTACATATTGCTGTGTTTGAGCCAGAGTCCCCCCAGTCGTAGGATCTCGGGTTATCGAAGCCACCTGCAGAGGCATTCTCATCAGAATCTAGAGCTAGTGACATGTCGGACCGAGGAAGTGACTCGGTGCCCCATCCACCAACAACTGCCCACAGCCTGAGGATGGGAGTCGAGAGGGGCTCGTGGTCATGATTTTCGAGTCGGACAAAGCCAAGTTGGGCGTTGATGATACCTCACTAAAACTCTGGGGATATCAGCAGGACTTGAAAATCGTGCCGTGCACAACACGGAATCTCTATGAATTGAGTTTCCATGGTGTGGACGCTCCAGGCGGCGGCCAGCCAATTCGGGGAAATCTTGCAGGTCTGATAATCCAAACACCGATTGGATGTTGTAAGTACCTACTTCCTATCATCTATGACCCATTCATTTCCATACCCAACCCGATACCAGATTTATCGATTCACATTCAGAAACACTGTTTCTGCTCTTTATTTTTCTTCCTGGCTAATATTTTTTTTTTCCATTTAGACCAATCTTCTCTATTCAAGCTTCTAACACAAACTACGTCGATATTCTGCTCGAAGGAAGGCCAGACGTGGGGCGCAAGTGGCTGTCGTTTGATCAAAGACATCGAGCGGATTCAGATAGTTTCTGGACAAGATTTACTGGACACTGACACTCTTACCAAGGACCAACCACATACATCACGCCCGAGAACGCTCACATCTGCCTTTAGAACTAGTACGAGAAGCATTTTTAGCTTTCCAAAATCCGGATCTATGGGGTCAAGGGAACGCCAAGAACTTAGGAAACCCGTAACTAGAGCAGGAAGAGAGTTCGCCACGGATGGGATTGAAATCGAACGACCACTTCCACGGAAGTACTTACTCCTCTATTGCAAGCAGGAGATGTGGTGTATACCTTGTAAGCCCTCTCCTTAGAAATTTTTTTTCCACGTTCCGTGTTTTTACAATTTTATTATAAATATATATCCCCATCACGCTCAAGCATTTCCCACGCTCACCCAACCCCATGAAAATTATTTTCATCAAGCATATAAAGTACCTAAATTATACTAACCACACTGTTTCCCTCCCCTCCTCGGCTCACGATGTAGTCAAACCCGACGAATTTCACGTTTCCTACACCCCCGACATCGCCAACCACGATGAACCCTTCCCCTACACATACAATCTCGAGCGCATCGAAATCGGCAACAACGCAAACCTAAAGTTGGATCGCGATGTTAAATCCATCAACGCATACAGAATAGACTGGGTACCAGAGGACAGAATAGCGGGACTCCCAATGTGGCCGGACACGCGCACTGCGTTGATATTTAAACCTTCCATCGCGAGGGGAAAGCTTCGGAAGGTCAACAGCGCACATGTGTGCAGTTTGAAGGCTTTTACAGCAGTGAGGGCACAAATACCTATGGCTACTTGAAGTAACTAGGGCATATTATGGAGTGGTTTGTGTGTGGTGTGTTGGGGAGGGGGGGGGGGCTGTTCTTGCATTGGTTCTATAACGTTAACTTTCACATGGCGTCTAAGGTTTCTTTAAGTATGTGTTGATAATACTGGACATCGTAGGAGTCACATAGTACATGGTTACTTACATTGCAATTTGGCGGCTCCAAGAATGCAATTGGGTGGATTTCTTATCAATTACTTCTGTTGGCTTTTCTCTTTCTCTTTTTCTTTTCTTTTCTTGTTCCATTTCATTTTTTTTCCCCCTTTTCTTTTCATCAAGCTTTATTCTCGGCATCTGGTTTTAATTTTTTTTTTTTTTTCTTTGGGGGGGGGGGGGGGGGCAGATGCATGCTTTAAGCCTTTTTTTTTTTTACATCACTCCGGAAAATACCTACATTGCATGGGCGCAGTTTGATATCGATACCGATATCGGTGGATCCTGATTCTTTTTCTTTTTCTTTTCCCATCTCTTCCTTTGTTCTCGTGCCCTCTTTTCTTTTTCTTTTCTTTTCTATACCATATGCATGATTATTATGGAACGAGAACAATTACCTATTAAGTACGTATCACGTTGGATTTTTGGGACACTCTACCTCTTTTACCTCTTAATAATTACATAGCTATATATAGATAGATACCTAAAATCTTCTTTTTCTGTTTTCCCTTTCCTTTCCTTTCCTTTCCTTTCCTTTCCTTTTCTTCTTTTCTTCATGATCATACTTACTATCTACCAAGTAGGTACCTAACTCATCTCATAGAACGTACATACCTAATCATGTTTGGATATCGATCGTTGTCGATGTATATACCTCTCTCTCTCTCTCTCTCTCAGCTAGCTAGCTATATATAGATCTCATCGGGTTCTCTTCCTTTTCCTTTTCCATTCGTTTTTCTTATAATATTAATAATGACACATATAATACGTATACTTTGCTTACCTATAGCTACCTACCTCTACTGATCATGATGTTGGATCAATAACGAGAAAGGATACTTTACTTTACATTACATTGCAATTGTACATACATCTTACATGGTATTGCTTTACTTGTTTTTCATTTCATAGGGATATATAAGGGTTTTATTTTCTTCTCCTGATCTTTTTCTTTTTTTTATTTGTATACCGATCGATACAATAGGTGCGAGTACATATTCTTGAATTCGAAAAAACCATTTACATCTATACATGACATGCTTGGAGATACATGTCCGTGATTCCGTACCGACATACAGGTAGCTTAGGTACTTTTGATGGGTTTATTTTTTTTGTCTTGTTTTCGTGTCTTTGGATCTAGATAGATCTTGCAATACTTTATGTCGTATCCATCTTGTTTAGCTTGGACGATCCAACGGTCAGTGTTTCGTTTTTGTACTGCGATTGAACATATAAGGGCTGTAAATATAGCGGATTAAGCAGATTGAAGCAAGCCTCCTTGGCTCAGTGGTAAAGCGTCGCACTTGTACAGATAAATACAAGCTATGGCTCACATCCGTCATGCGAAGATCGGTGGTTCAATTCCGCCAGGAGGCAAAAAAAAGAAATATTTTGCCTGTTATCTATTTTTCTATAGACGCACAATCACCTATTTATTTTTTATGAACGTGAACACAATTCCATCCCCCAACAGATTTGAGGCAAGAGTTTTTACAATTTCAATGTGGTGATTTTCAATCATGAGGGATGGGATAGTTTCCATGTGACCATTAGGGTATCGAGAGGGCGTGTTACCCTGAACTCTCGAAAGTTTTTCCCCAGGGCCACACGTCTCGCTTCACAAAGGAGTGATACCTTGACACAATAAGCTTCTCATTTTGTTCAATAAACATGAAAACGTACTGATGTCGTAGAATTCAGGCACTCAAGGGTGCAAAAAAAGTCTTACTAGCAGGTTGCTCTTAAGTCTCCCCAGTCAATTGATTGAGGAACAACACATTCGACACTTCACGTTCTTTCAGCCCTAGTATCAAGCCTGCAAAGGCTAGCAGCAATGGGACCGCGGCAATCAATAAGGGCCCTCGTTGGCATGGTAGTAAAAATTGGTCACCATGGTGAGCCACAAAACAATGAAATTAAGAAACTTCTGTACAAGTGTCACGCTTTACCACTGTCCTGTCATATTATAAGGAGACCCCCGAAAATACAATATGATAGCTGGCTGATTGCACATTTGAGTTCAAATAGTCTTTATATCTACAGACTATTTGGCGCGCAGAGTAGGACAGCCCTTCAATTTGGAGCGAGTAGAACATTGACCAGGTTTGAATGGAGAATGATGAGCCATAATACAAATGGTAATTTCCGTCAATGGGTATCGGATTCGGAAGTTAAAAATGGCCACGGGCAGGAGAACAATATTTTCGGCATAATTCGCCGCTAATTCCCACAAATCACATCTTGTAACAGGGCCACCCAGGGCCATGGGATTGGTGGACATGAATTTAACAACTACCAACATGAGGGCTTACTTTCTACGTCTCTAACGTAAATTCCTATGGCCAGTCGTGTAGGTATTCAATATAGCGAACATTAAGTGTACGAGTGCTTGAAGAAAGCACTTTTCGGGGGTAAGAAGCGAGAGTACTTGGCTATGCGTCGTTATAATCGTGAAATCAACAATGTTCATCTCTAGGAGCTCAATTGTCAAAAGACTAATGAGAGCCTAACTGCGACTCCCGAGTCATCACTCTTATGCCATCGACCTCTGCTAGACAGATAGCATATCTTTCACTTCGAAAGAATCCGGTAAGTAGGCGTTTTTGACGTATTTCTCCCGTTCTCAATTCCCCCTTTGACCCCATGGAACTGATCTCCCCCCTTCCTCCTGTTGAATTGCTGAACATATACATCGTCTTTCATTGATACCTCATTACTCGGGAAACTATCACAGTATCTTCTTTTATCTGAACAGAACGAGACGTGTAACCGGGTTAGATAGATTGTTAAAAACTAACGTACTTCTCCGAGAACAGAATTTGAACTGAGAATTCTCAAAATACCTTTTCTCGCCATCGGCAGCTGATTACAATGTTGGGGCCGTCGATAGCGCCCTCGACAGCTTGTGAGGAATGGTCCCAAGCCGAGCGTCCTCGATGGCCAGTGCCACTGAAAGCCGCACCTTATTTTTACCTGTTCCTCGTTGTTACAACAATATGCATTGCGGTAACTGCAGGGGTTTGGGGCGCATTGAAACTACAAGTAAGTTCAAAGCCAGTTCAGAAGGATCTGGAACAATGTGATGATGAGAAGCAATCGCATGGAAAATCGGCAAGTGTCAAAGTCGAATAGGAATGTTGTCCAAGAAGGAATGCTCAAAGATAGAACATAAGGGAGATATTATGTATGGAGGTTCCTTTCTGTCCAATACTCTCATGTATCTATTGCGAGAAGCGAAGTTTGTCTGAAAGAAGGCAATACCGTATGTATGTCTTTGTCAAATAGGAGATTAATACATTGTGGCTATGGAGGAAATTTAATTCCCGATCAACCATGGTACATGTACCAATCATATAATGGAGCTTTTAGTCTAATAAATCTTGGTTATTTACAATGAACTGAAATCTTCCCATCGTCCTGCCTCAAATCCAGGGTTGAATAATGCTCTTGAATATTAATGTTCACGAAACTCTGGTGACTATCACAGATATAGTGAAAGCAGAAACTAGGAGTCTTGTCATAGGTGATCGAACATTAAATATGCATGATAGACATTGTGGTGAACTAATCGGTAGTTATACAACGTATAGCTATATAGCGATGAGATTAAACTTAATTTTGTTCGGCTATTGCATATTCTCATAATGTGTACACACTGGTTTACAGAGATCCTGATTAAGAATAGATACCAAGTTATGTGTAATATTCTCGGCAGACTTGTATGTGTAGGGTATTGACTTACGATATGGGCTTCAGAGCTACCTATCTACAGCCCCTAATCTTGGAGCTAGTTCTTTGATATACAATAGTTTCTAGCGAATACGGGACTAATTGTAATAAAATTAAATTCCAGTCAACTGATCCAATAGATCTAGCCTCAAGATTTGCCTCGAGTGCATATCAAGATCTTGTATAAGCCGAACTTGGGTGATAGGGGAAGGTACATCATTGCATAACAGACCTCTTCTTTCGGAAGAAATATACAGTGTGTAACTCTTTTTTTGTATATGTAGTTAGACTGTTGGGCTGAATACATGCCCGTTCCCGACATGCGTATTGCAACATAGCAAATACTGTAGCTAGCTCATTGCAAGAGGATTTTCCAAAGGGGCTGATACCTAATTTCACAGGCCAATGGAACTAAGCCAGGCACTGTCGGCGACTATGTTTAGTGGGCGAGAATCATCCAGAGTTGAAATATGCACAACCGATTTGCCAGTTTCGAGTTTCTGAAATATCGGGTAATATCATGATTTGTAATCGAAGGGTTACGAGCAGTTGTCAATCCACAGAAACTAGAGCTGATGTATTTTCGCACTTGTGTACTTCATGGAGCTTCAGACGATTTGAAAGCTTCCCCCTGGTGCGAAGCCCTCGTGCCAACATTTGCCGTAGATTCTGCCAGTCTCAGTTGGAACATCAGCGAGCACCTCTTTACTAGAAGTAAACCAAAACTCAAATTCATTTTAGGGTTGCTGCTGCCAACTTCACTAAAAGGAGATTATGTTTGGCAATGGAAATCACACCTTATTGAAATATATTTAAATCTCACATTTGTGCTGGACGGATTGATATTGTAGCTCATGACTGATGTCAAATAAATGCATTCATGGGTACTTAGTAAGAAGAATATACAAAGGATAACTATGAATGAAAACAAAAATCCACCCGATCACTCCTCAAAAGTCATCAATCCCATAGACTAGCCATGACTATCTTCTATCCATCCCAGCTTAAAACCCCGACTAGTTTTATATCTCCTGCGTATGAATTGACAAGCCTAGAAGGCAGTCTGGAAATCTGGACTCCTAGTCTAATCCAGGTTAAGAGGGTTCTTCTTGAGGTACTCCTCAAAAGTAGTAAGAGTACCAAGTGCCGCAGCCGCTCCCAATTCAAGGGCCTCCTTCCCCTTCTCCCCAAATGCTCCAAAATCCCGTTGGAATAAATTCATCTCATAAAGCATCACACCGTAACTCGGCGGTAGGAAGCTTAGGAAAACCTCATCTGGTATATTCTGATACTTCACCGTTTTCCCCGTGACCTTACTGATTGTCTCCACAATCTCCGTATAGGTATAAAATCTGGTTGCTGATGCAATAGTCTTCCCGTCATATTTATCTGGGTTCAACAAAAACGAACCAATCCATTTTCCAGAGTCGCCTACGACGTCGATGAGAGGAACTTCCGTATCTGGGTAGGCAAGTCCAGCGACCACATATGTGCCGTCGCCAACAGGGCGGGGGCGCCAGAAGTCCACGACGTTTTGCATGAATGCTCCTGGCCTCCAGAAAGTGGCTTTGATAGGCAGGGTGCGGATGTATTCGTCGACTAGTTCCCTCGCATCAAAGAATTCGACGTTGACAAGCTTTCCACCGCTTCCCTTCGTGGCGTTGGGAATGGTGCTCCAGATGATGTAGTCGGCGCCTGCTGCCACAGCTGCATCGGCGATGGCCTTTCCTTGGTTGACGGCTTTCTCTTTGGCGCCTCGTTCCAGGACTGTAGTTTATCTGTTAGCTTGGTTTATGACACCCTTGAAGGGATCGATGAATTATTTTCACTTACTGGAGACTGTGGTTGCAAATACAGCATTCGCGCCTTCGAGCGCTTTCTTGATTGATTCATCATCATCGAAGTCCGCCGCAACAACCTCCACGCCTTTCTGCTCCAAAGCCTGTGCCTTTGGGTTGGTCGCATCCCGTGTAATTCCGCGGACTTTGTATTGCTTCGACAGTTCTGGGTGATTGAGGACAAAGTCGACAACGGAACCGCCCTGATTCCCAGTTGCACCGAAAACGACAAGGAGTTTGCTCATTTTGGTTTCGTGGGGCTTGATATATCGTAAGTAGGTATTTAGCGAGATCAGGAATGATGGATCTTGGTTATTCTTTTTCTCTGCGTGTGTATGTAGTGTATTGCTGTGTGGAGATAAAGTACGATTTCTAGTGGGGACTCAGAATCATTATATAGTCTTCGTGCTTCAATTGATGATTGATCAAATGCCTGTCCTACCAGTACAATTTAATGGAAATGCACTCACGATCGGAAAGCGCTAGACGCCGACTCTCACGACATGTTTTCGCAGGTTTCCTAAACAAGCGTTGACGTGCGTTCGGCCGAACGTCACAACATTACAAATTGACGCGGAAAGCGGATGAACTTATTTTCTTTCATTCCGATGACCATAAGATGCAATGGATAAACCTTGCTCTATGTAACGTAGACAACCTTCGATGGGTTTTGCGAAGCTTGAATCCGGAAGTAGCACTAGCCTACAGGTTGAATAGCATCGGGTCTAATGTCTGGATATGATCACTGTTATACATACCGTGGTATTTGGAAAACAACACCCCCCTTCGATTATAACGCCCCCCCCCTTG